TTATGTAATGCCAGTCTCCCGTTTATTATCGATACAGCGCATGCGCATGTTCAATATCTCAATTGTAGCGCATGCGCAAGTTATAGACATTTATTGTTTAAACGTCCAATCAAAATACAGGAATAATTGCCGTATCTTAAACATGGAATACTAGTATAGAAAATGATAAACCTATTTTGGTTTTTGTTTGAAAACATGAGTATTTTGAAAAGCTAGCACAATATATTACACAGAAAACCATAGATAAAGTTTTTCAGAACAGTACATTTTAAAAGTACATGTACTAACCAAAACTCCTAAATTTATTTAAACAAATTATTATGTTGTATTTTACATCAGCTGTCAACGTCTGTTACAACAAATTAACAATAATGCTTATTGCTGAGTGCACACTATCATCAGTGCATTTTTGTCCCCCGCCTTTTCGAAGAAAAAAGGGGGATATAGAAATAGGCTCCGTCCGTCTGTCCGTCCGTCACACTTTCGTGTCCGGTCCATAACTTTGTCATTTATCAAAGGAATCTGAAATACTTTCAAATTGGTAAAAGTATTTGATATAAAAAGACGATGTGTCATGCGCAACAACCAGACCCCTACCTCCAGGGTCAAGGTCGCACTTGCTCATTCAAGGTCAACAAAGTCTATTTGAGAATAATGTCGTGTCCGGTCCATTACTTTCTTATCTGCGAGCGGATTTTGTAAATGCTTGCAACAATTGTTCAAATAATAAGACAATGTGTCATGCGCAAAAAACTGGCCACCTACCTCCAAGGTCAGAGTCACACTTATAGGTCAAAGATTAACATAGTCTGTCACAGGGTATATTTTGGCTCCGGTCTTTTTCATAGATCAAAGGATTTTGTAAATACTTGCCACAAAAAGTCACTAAAATAGGAGAATGTGTCATGCGCAACACCTTCATCCCTAACTCCAAGTTCAAGGTCACACTTAGAGGTCAAATGTTAACATAGTTTGTTTTAAGGTATATTTTGTGTCCGATCTAGAACTTCTTTTGGATTTTGAATTAACTAGGCACAAATAGTCACAATATTTAGGCAATATGTCAAGTACAACACCTGCACCCTTACTAAGGTCAAGGTCGCACTGAGATGTCAAAGGTTAACAGAGTCTGTTATATGGTATAATTTTTGTCCCGTGTATAACTTCTTCATTGATCACGGGATTTTAATAACATTTGGCACAAATAGTCTACCTCCAAGGTCAATGTCACACAAAGAGGTCAAAGATTTACATAGTCTGTAATTGCGTATATTTTGTGTCCAGTCCATAACCTTTTCATATATCAAGGGATTTTAACAATATTTCGCACAAATTATCACAATAATAAGACGATATGTCAGGCGCAAAACATGGGTCCCTACCTCAAAGGTCACACTTAGAGGTCCAAGATTAACATAGTCTGTTATAGGGTTTATTTTGTGTCCGATAAAAATTGAAACTGAAAAAGAACAACATATACAGCAACAAAACAAAACAAAAACAATATAGCTCGTGTCCATCACATTTACGTTTAATTATTTGATATCCGTACAGAAATGACAAAATTTCGATAGTTCACAACCGTCAAGTCTGACCACAACCTTTTAGCTGTCACATTGTTCCTATACTTTTCAAAATTATAGAAAAACGGAATCCCTAAAGAACATCCAAAACGTCAAAATCGAAAATATTACAGGCTTGGTTTGATAATGCATGTTCGTGGACTAAAGTGGCAGGTGCAAGCTACTGTCTTTGCCCAAGCAGTGGCTTAAGCAGTGTTCACCATTTTAATATAGAAATGGTTAAATTTTGATTTTTGATTTTGAATCAAACCGATAATGTGTAAATAAGTCAGTGACCATGCAGCGTTCAATGTGAAACGTTCGTGCAAATCGATAGAAAAGCGGCGTATGGTTGATCTTTATAATAAATCATGACTGGTACTTACACGTATTTAGTTAGGATGGCATTTGAAATACGGAACAATCACCTTTTACTTCTGAACAATTAATGGACAATTTTAGACAAGTTTTACAATAAACTTATTTTGCTTAAATAACTTAATAAAATTGCATCGATTTTATTTCATTAAATGTTTCTTTTATTCTTCAAGCGCATACAGTCATGCACAAAACAGAATACAATCAACAGCAACACAATAGGGGTACTTTGTTAAATATGCATAGACTGGGTACTAGGATCAATGTTTGAAATTACAAACCTTTATTGATACTGCTCCGTCTAGATTAAAAAACTGTTGCTCAGTCTAGATATAAAAAAACTGATAGCTGAGACCGAAATAGGTTATTTGACTAAGTAAAATTTGTATTGTTTGTCTATTTTATTATTTGTGCCTGAAATATTATGTTGGGACTTGGATTTTGGTTGTGATTACCAAGCACGTGCTTTAAAGTGCGCTCGATACGTTTTTATTTCCGTTAAGGGGATCATCTGCCGTGTACAACAGGTAGAACTCGATTTGATCAAAAACAAGGAACGAAATAAAAAAAGAGCGATAAGAAGCGGAAAGGAAATGACCGCGCGTTTTAATTAAAAAGGCCACCCGATACCTGAAAAAAAAATGAGTCACGGCAAATTTAATGGGTCGGTCGTATAACTTCAAACATGACTTTTTAAAGGTTGTCCCTATTGCTCTGTCTGTCTAATCTGTCGGCAGAGTCTCGTCCTATTTTTTTTCTTTGTCTGGCCTGATAAATGTTGTAATATCAGATACTAGCAGGGTATTCTGTATATTACAGAAAATACGATTATCTATATCATTTAGGATTGAAATATATATGACACAAAGCTATTATATGAATCTTTAATACTAAATCCTAATTTCGACATTTAAAGATCCTGTATGTTGTGACCAAAGTGTTTAACCTTTTTGTGTGCATTTGCGTTTATTTATACTCGCCACCGGTTGCCCATATGGGCGAGTCCTCCAGAAGAGTATTAGTCATTTTAGATTTTTGGAGGATAATGCAATAACAGATACAGAAAGATGCCCCAAGTCCAGAAGCTTCTCCTGGTTCTTAAGCGAGCCAAATGTTTAGCACCAATACACGGGACTTCGAATTAAAGTATCATCCGAAAGACTGATTAATTTTAGTTGGCCAGCTCGGGAATCGAACCCACAATGTCGAGATTACAAGTCTCGCACACAAACCGATTGAGCCATGCGGGCTTGCTACTAGTATTGGTAAACCTTGTGTGTATTTGCGTTTATTTATTCTCGCCACCGGTTGCCCATATGGGCGTGTCCTCCAAAAGAGTATTAGTCATTTTTGATTTTGGAGGATAGTGCAATTACAGATACAGAAAGACACCCCAATTCCAGAAGCTTCTCCTGGTTCTTTAGCGTGCCAAATGTTTTAGCACCCATACACGGGACCTCGATTTAAAGTCTCATTCGAAAGAATGATTAGTAATTTACAAAAAATAATCCTGGCCAGCCCAGGAATCGAAGCCACAATGTCGAGATAACAAGTCTCGCGCTCTAACCGATTGAGCTATGCAGGATGTCTATTGGTAAACCACACTAATTGTGTGTGTTTGCGTTTGTTTACCCTCGCCACCGGAAAGAGACTATATGAGCGAGCAGAAAAAACACACTAATTTTTTTTTTTATGCGTTTATTTAAGGTCGCCGCCGGAAAGCCCATATGGGCGACCGTACACTCAAGTCGGGTCATCCTAGAGCGTCCAGCCGAGATTTTTCGTCGATTTTTTTTCCAGCTTTATTGGTGGAGGAAGACCCCAGGTGCCCCTCTGGGCATTATTTCAGCCACGAGCGGGCACCTGGGTAGAACCACCGACCTTCCGTAAGCCAGCTGGATGGCTTCCTCACATGAAAGATTTCGACCCGAGTGAGGATCGAACCTACAGTGGTGAGGGACCTGTGATCTCAAGTCAACGATTTTAACCACTCGGCCACAAAGACCCCACAAACACACTAATTTGTGTGTGTGTATTTGCGTTTATTTATACTCGCCACCGGTCGCCCATATGGGCGAGTCCTCCAGAAGAGATTAGTCATTTTATTTTTTTGGAGGATAGTGCAATTACAGATACAGAAAGATGCCCCAATTCCAGAAGCTTCTCCTGGTTCTTTAGCGTGCCGAGTGTTTAAGCACCCATACACGGGACCTCGATTTAAAACCTCATCCGAAAGACTGATTAGTACTTTTAGTTGGCAAGACCGGGAATCGAACCCAAAATGTCGAGATAACAAGTCTCGCGCTCTAACCGATGTTGAGCTATGCGGGCTGGTTATTGGTAAACTACACTAAGTGAAATTATATATAATTATGTACATAATTATGCAAATAAAACAATTTTCAAACATCGAAGAATATTTAAAATATGTACTGCAAATATTTGTGCATATTATAAGTAAACATTAAAATGTATTCATTTCTTATTGTAAAATTTGACTTAAACTTTATAGAAAATATTTTTTTTATTACTTCCCTTTATTTACATGAAATGTTAATTCGGATATATTTTTATAAATAATGCTTTTTGGAACCTACAATACTAATAAATCTTAATTTGAACATCATATTTATGATTTAAAACCATAAAAAAATTGTGTTACAGGATCTTTAAAATTTGTCGTCCTTACATAAGCTGCAAAGATAATGTAACCTGAAAAATCAGGTCAAATTTTAGTTAATCTGGGACGCATTTGATAAAATTAAATTGTTGAAATGTTATGAGCATTTATCTGATAGAAAAAGATACCCCAACGGTCAACAAGATCGGTTATTTCCGTATAAATGAATAAGTGTCGTTTGTAAACTGTTAAGTTAGCTTGCTTGCCTCAATTTACGACAATCGTAAATGTTACCAATTATTCAAACAAAATAGCTGGTCAATACAAACTCGAATCGAGATGATGCATTAAACTGTCTTTCACTGTGTTATATTACGGAGTTTACCGGAAATGACCAAAAAGTTACGGAAATATTCATACCAGGTTCACTGCACTATAACTGACAACACAGTTATCATGCTCTTCTCACAAGATAACTCCGTTATCAGTTGGTACACTCGATGTCGGGTCATATGACAGGCACGGGATCTGAAGTTATAAAAATCAGTTTGACAGCGGACCTTTAGACGTGCACACCAACCATTACTAGCAAAGGTAATTTAATATACCAACAATTCTTTTTAAATCGTTAAAAATATTTTCAAGTTACGATTAACAAGTGGCGCTTAATTTTGCTCGTGCAAAACATATAAATAAAAATAGCAGCAGTAAGATAATAAATGAGCTGCGCCATGACAAAACCAACATAATGGGTTTGCGACCATCATGGATGCATCCGCGCAGTCTGATCAGGATCCATGTTGTTCGCTTACAAACCCTTTAACAAGTAGAGAAACTGATAGCGAACAGCATGGATCCCGATCAGATTGTGCGAATGCGCAGGTTGGTCTGGATCCATGCTGGTCGCAAACGCACTATGTTGGTTTTGTCGTGACGCGGCTCAAATATTGTATCTTTTTTTTTAGATGTTCCGTTTGGCTGTAATTGTTGCCCTGGTGGCATTTGCTTATGCTGCTAGACTTGAAAAGTTCAACCCAGAACTGGACGGTGAGTGGCAGGAGTATATGAAATACCACAACAAACAATACCAGTACGGAGAGGAGCTCACCAGGTACGTTTTTACCCCAATATATTTTCCCAATTATTCAAACAAAATAGATCGTCAATACAAAACCGGACTGAGATGAGATATAAAACTGTATTTCACTGAGTTATATTTCGGAGTTTTACGGAAATTACCGAAAAGTTACGGAAAAATTCATGCCAGGTTTACATTAGACCTCCGTGACTGAAAGGATAAGGTTTACATCTTGGACACATGTCTCTCATTTTTGATCAAACTCTTTGGATTCAATCAAGTGTATAAGATGTTCATAGTTTTTGCTTTTGTTAGTCATTTTTTTTTAATTTTAAAGTGGATTGGTCTACACTGGGCATATTTTCAATAAGAATTCAAAATATTGATAAAAAACTGCCAACAAAACATTTTGTTCTAGAACAATTGATTATCTGCTGTAAATAATAACGAATCAAACAAAATCCATATGAGCCGCGTCATGACAAAACCAACATAATGGGTTTGCGATCCGCATGGATCCAGACCAGTCTGCGTATCCGTGCAGTCTGATCAGGATCCATGCTGTTCGCTATCAGTTTCTCTACTTGTTATAGGGTTTGTAAGCAAACAGCATGGATCCTGATCATACTGCGCGGATGTGCAGACTGGTCTGTATCCATGCTGGTCGCATGGTTTTGTCATGACTCGGCTCATATATATTATTCTTGTGTGATCTGTTGTCGCGATTGATACTTAATACTTTTAACATAATTATTCATTTTATTGTATACCTTTAGCGTGGACTGATTTACTTTATATATTTGAACGTTTTGTTATATTGTTGTTTTTTCTTCTTCTATGGAATATAAAGTTTGATCAGTCATGGAATTCCGCCATAATCATACACTTTATATATATACATGTATATACCTAAATTATCGTGAATGTACGTAAATATTCGAATATTATCGTAAATCATGTAAATACATGAAATATACGAAAACATTTGAATACGAATATATTCGAATATTATTGTAAATATACCAAAAATACTCGACCATTATCGTAAATAAACGTAGATATACTTACAAAATTTATATTAGAATATCAGAACAATTAAATGACCTAGCATCTGATACCCACGGTTGATTAACAACTAACATAATGTTCATAGTTCGGCCGTTGGTATCCGACAATGAAATGTCTATAAATGATAAGAATATAATTGTTACTATACACATATGTACGAGATGTACTAGTAATAACGTAAACATATTTACTATTTTATTTTAGACGCTTGATCTGGGAACAGAATTTGGCATACATCAAGAAACACAACCTGGAAGCCGACAGGGGCGTGCACACTTTCTGGCTTGGAATGAACGCTTACGGTGATATGGTTAGTTGCTAAAATTATATTCTTTTTTATTAATTAGGAATCCAACAGAAATCTTAAGATTTTTTCCTTTGTAATTAGGAATCCCACAGAAATCTTAAGATTTTTTTCCTAATTAATTAGGAATGCAACAGAAATTTTAAGAGTTTTTTCTAATAAATTAGGAATCCAACAGAAACCTTAAGATATTTTTCTAACTAATTGGAAATCCAACACATATTTTTTTTTCTAATTAATTAGGAATCCAACAGAAATGTTATAAAATTTTACTTATCATTTAGGAATCCAATAGAAATCTCAAGATATTTTACTAATTAATTAGGAATCCAACAGAAATCTTAAGCTATTTAACTAATTAGTTATGAATCCGACAAAAATGTTACGATATTTTACAAATTAATTAGAAGAAGCTAAAATTTAAAGATTTTTATTCTAACTCTAAAAATCGCTGTGTCATTACATTGAATTCAAAACTTTGAACTTTGGTAAAGTGGTATTTTTTTTTTTCGTTTCTAAGCATTGACTGAAATGTAATAAAACATCGAGATTATTTGGCCTAGTCTGAAATATAATAAATACACGATACGATTGCATCCTATTTACGATTTGCATGTCAGGTACCGGCAAATTATTAAGCAAATATATTTTCGGCTGATTACTTGAACAAAAATGTAAAGCCACGTAATCTTGAAATCATGTAATAGGTCTATTGTTGTCCTCCGAGATAACATTATTATCAAGAGCCCAAGTATGACCCGAACCCACGGTTTATGGTTTCAAAGCCTATTGGGTTAGGCACATAATGCCACCATTCAATTTATAGATTTTCTAATTAAAACAGGATATTGAACGCAACAAGTTTTGAAAATTTTGTCGGGAACTGACGACGAATATCATTGAAAATGTCATAAAACATTTTTGGCTTTTTCTCCAACTATTTCAGACCAATGAGGAATTCGTTAGTCAGATGAACGGATACAAAATGGCCGCCAAAACAAACGGTTCAACTTTTTTGCCACCAAGTCACGTGACTCTGCCAGACAGCGTTGATTGGAGGAATGAAGGTTACGTCACACCAGTGAAAAACCAGGTGCTTTCTTGTTTCAAATTGTTATTTAATTACCAGTTTTATAGCTGATCAATCATAGCATTACTGTATAATGAAATTATTAAGACCAGCAAACTGTTCTTGCCTTATATTATACTTATATTATAATTTGAATTCAAAACTGCATAATATGCCACTTACGAATGTGAATTGTAGTGATGTCTGATCGATTATTATTTGCAGCTATAATTGGCTACTTATAAAAAAGCGTACTTCAAAACTTTCAAGCCAATCTTAATATATACTCAGCGAGTTTTCCAAACAATTTATAATGATATGATATTTAAGTTTCAGTTAGCTTATATATTAAATGAAAACATATATGATAACTTTAGGAATGCGTCCGGTTTGGTGGTTATAAAGCCCCTTGAACGTCTTATTCCGGCCTGTTCCGACAAGGCAGATTTTGTTCACTTCACACGTTTGTTTGTTAGTTTTGACGCATTTTAAGTCACCGCGACACTGTTAAAAAGGGTACTTTCCTGCTATACTGATGAAGGAAGATCTTTTTTGCCCATTCGGGACTAATTTCAGTCATGAGCGAAACCTGGGTAGATCTACCGACATTCTGCAAGCTAGCTGGATAGCTTTTTTACATGATTTAAAAAAAACAAACTTCGAAAATCCCTGATGGGATTCGAATACACAGCAATGAGGAGCAATTTTTCAGCGCCATTAAGCGCTCGTGACAAAAACATATCGTTTTATCTGAAAGTAACTTGTTTTTATCTTTGTATTCCAGGGGCAATGTGGATCATGCTGGGCTTTCTCCACCACAGGGTCTCTTGAAGGCCAAACATTTAAAAAGACAGGAAAATTGCCATCTCTCTCAGAGCAAAATTTGGTAGACTGCTCCGGAAAACAAGGTATGCCCATTCATAATTAAGGGGAAGTCAAAGGCAGGGACTGCATTTACGTAACAATCGCAACTTTTCGGCTTAAGAATTATCGTTGAGGTCTTCCGATTAAAAACGGAGGCGGTGCATGAAATACCGAATGACACCTTTAAAACGAAAAATGTAAAAGAAGAAAAAAATAAACGATTTTTAACGGACTTTCGTATATAGGCTTTGCCTTCTTTCATATTATATTTCAACTTCATATTCAGGGGAGATAATTATAGTGGTTACGTTTTCCTTTTTTTTTTCGTCAAAAATGGGTCAGGTAATAAAATAATTAACTATTGTCAATTTGTCAACAGACATGAAACATTTAGTGACTTAAATTCTTCAAACTTCGTTATTATACACAACTATCTAATTTTCGTATTTCTAATAAATGAAGATGCCAGGGAGCTTTGCAGGTCCTAGTTTTGAATTATATTTATATTTTATGTTGCTAGGTAACCAGGGTTGTCAAGGAGGTTTAATGGACCAAGCATTTAAGTACATCAAGGAAAACAATGGTATTGACACAGAATCAAGTTACCCCTACAAAGCAGTTGTAAGTCTCGTGATTTAGTTGTTAGGGTCTCATACATCTCACCATGAGTGGTATATATTTTCAGAAATTTTAGGTCGAGCATATGTTGCGCGTGTCTTCCTAAATATTCAAATATTTAAGAAATGTTTCTTATATTAACTATATAGACACCATTTGTCTGTGTACATGTGTAGTTGTAAACGAACAATGCCACACATCCGGTGATAGATCTATCTTGTAAAAACGAACAATGAATTGTAGCATAATTAAGACCTCAAATTTAGAAATGGCTTTATATTCAATACAAAAAGATAGTGCTTTGATTGAAAGAAAACTAGAAAGGTGATGGAGTATAAACGATGAAATGCCGGTTGGTTACGATGCTCTACACCAAAGCACTCCATTAATAATGACTAAATACATCTCAGATTTTTATCTCAGTAAGACATATGTTTTTGGTAACAGCAGTTCTGTCACGTCTTAGAAGCATTATAAACCACAATAATTATATGTACGTTATATACGTAAATTAATACATCCATGATACAATTTCAGAACGGAAAATGCAAGTTCGATGCTGCTAACGTAGGAGCCACGGACACCGGTTTTGTTGATGTTAAGAGCAAAAGTGAGTCCGACCTTCAATCAGCCGTGGCAACTGTGGGACCAATCAGTGTGGCTATTGATGCATCACATGCGAGCTTCCAACTTTACAGGTTGGCACACTCTTCCTAGCTATACAAGAGACATGGACAATAAAAATTATATCTCTGCCTATACAGTGCTTTGTTAAATTTGTATTATTTGCTTGTATTGTTTGCGGAGAAGAGTATGAATACTGGATAAGTTAGTCAGGAAATATCTGTGTCAGTTGGCTCGACCGCTGGGATACAACCAAGCATGTGTTGAAACCAGAAAGAAAAACAAACGCTCAAAGTAAACATTTGAAGCGGCTATGTAAAAACATGTATGCGTTATCGGTGAGCCGTATGTCACCCACAAAACGTTAAAGGGTTCAACAGTCGGTTTTGTGGAAACTGTTGCTAATGTCGAAAAGTTTTTTGCACTAACTCCCTTAGATCTCTTGGTCCTTATTAATGTTTTTTTCTCGATAGAGAAAATAAAAATGTATTAAAAATGATATTACATAATCTTGCAAACTTCAATTAATAATTATTTTGATTTTATATTTACCAAGGCTGACAAATCTATTCTAGCTATCTAGAACTCTAAATGCAATTGATTCTATTTTTAGATCTGGGGTTTACCACACCTTTTTCTGCAGTCAGACTAGGCTCGATCACGGTGTCCTTGCAGTCGGCTACGGTTCAGAGAGCAATAGAGATTATTGGCTCGTCAAAAACAGGTAATGATTGTCGAAGTTTTCAAAATTATCATTTTTGGTAGCTGATTGGTTGTGAATTGCGCGTCGCGTTGTTGCTTGCGACCACACGACAAAGAGCCAAACGGCGTGTTATCGCCTTGGCGTCTTGTCGTCCTGTCGCTAGCAAAACACGCCAAACGGCTTATTGGCGCTTTGATGCTCGCGGCAATTAGCCATGCGACAGCACGATAATCAGCCACAATAATCAAGAAAATAAACGAAATATACGAACTTTGTTGATGGTATACGAAACCTTATGGGAAAAAAATGTACCTGCTCCGGACAAATATTTTGACATGGCCTTCTCTCTGATCGTTATTTATGATAAAACTTTTGGCGCTTAATGTTTGCCATTGAGGTCATATGTTTAAAACCTATAAAGCCCATTGTAATGACATTGCAATATTTGTTGTGAAATGAGCTAATTAAACAGTCGCTAGGCTACACATGAGATATTGCGCCATAAATGATTGTTGCATCGTAAAATTTGGGACATGAAGACTAAATAAATGTTTGCTTTAATCATACCCGTTTTTAATCTTCTATTTCGTCGAGTACTGGAGTGAGAAATCAGAATTACAAAAATTGTTGCTACATGATATAATTTGTTATACAACTTTTTGTTTTAGTGCTGATGCATTGATTAATTTCTTGATTCCATGAAGATAACATGGTTAACTTATTTTGTGATTTTCTTTTCAGTTGGGGTGAAAGTTGGGGAGAACAAGGATACATCAAAATGTCCAGGAACCGTGATAATAACTGCGGCATTGCGACACAGGCCAGCTATCCAACCGTTTAGACAAATAGCTATCTGAACGGGAAATGCGGCTATCCAAACGAAATCCGTACTATTTCAACAACTCATCTGCTGAAAAGAACTTAATCTGAATGGACAAAAGATAAATAATAAAGAAAATAATTGTGTTACCCAAACTTAACACTGGATTTAGAGAATAATTATGATGTTTTAGTCTGTAAATTTTATCTTCGATTTCCTTAATTGTTTTCTTTAAAGTTCATGTTATTAATAAAATATAAAATTTTAAAGGGATATTTGTTGTTCACAAATAATTCTTCTTGTTTACGAAGTTTGCCGACTTCAAAACACTTGATCTTTACTGCTATATGTTCCAGTCCTCCGAGGAAATATGGCATCGTCCTTGAACTGGACGAATCAAGGTCGTTCCACTTTCTATTTTCATTTTCAATTTTATAAAAATGCCATACCGACCTGTACATTGTAATTACAAGCGTTTCAGGGCTGTTGATATTTCACGCTACAATTTAGCAGTAAGCCTGTTGTCTAACTTATACACAGACAGTCGGTGCGTGGTTTGGATAGTATGATAGTTAACACGTTCATGACCACGCCCAATTCTTATCAATGAAATATCTTTTATTCAAAATGTATATAATAAAAAGTAAAACCATAAAAAACAACAACAACAAAATATTAAAAAAATGAAAACAAAACAAAAGAGAGAAAAAAAGTTGATAAAAACTGATATCGTGCGATTAATAGGGATATTCTTTTATGTCCAAGGCATAATGATAAACCAAAACAAGCGTGCCAGCACTAGACTCTTAGCACAATAATTATTGGCTTGCTTTACCAACGTTACTGAATAAAACATACCCGTCCTGATTCAGCATAAAACGAGTTTTAGTACGGACGTGATGGAAAATCTTCTCCAAATCCCTCCCGAGGCGTACACGTTGCAGAGAAGGCACACTCCAGGTCAAGGTCAAGTCATCTGAAGAATCAGAGACGATTGGTTGACCTGTCGTGCCTTACTTTAGAGGGTGGCGCTAACAAGAGCAGTTTTGTTAGATATGCTGTCAGAAACGACCTGAAGCCTTAACAGTATTGTATCCATCGAACGGTGAACAGTTCTTTGAAGATTCAGCAAGAAAGGCGTCCCCGATGTTACTTCTATAGTGAGCTGGCATGGACGCTAATGAATCTCAAAAAGATGGTTAATTCCGGCGCCGAGCATGAAAAAAAAACTAACTATACATACGCGTTATGTAATTTTCTGCTTCTCCAGATAATTTGTCAGGGTAGCATTTTAAACTGCAGCGCATAGCTGTGGAGCTACACGTACGCCATTCCTTCGTAGCCATTGTACGTATGCGTAATACATCGCTTAAATGTTTAAAGGTGCATTATGCCTAAGAAATGATTTTTTTTCTTTTTAATTATTTAAAAGACGCTTACATGATGTTTAGAACATTATAGATGCTTATAACCTGAAGTAATAAACGCTGGATGTGAAATTCTTTGTCCTAAATGTAGCAAAATGTAAACAAAGTAATATATTGCCTCCCATTTAAAATCATACTAAATCAATACATTTTTACTAATTGCCAAATGCAACAGAAGTAAATAAATGGTTGACGTAATTGGCCAATGAGTACATGTATGTGTTTCGTAACTTTAAGCCAATAATAGAAAGCTTTTGAGAAATGAAAATAAAAGCATTTCTGTAACATGATAGGCCTTTAAATGTTTTAGGACAACACTAGTTTAACAGAAGAATTTTGTTTCACTTCTCTCAATGCATTTTGAATCAAAATTATGGCAGCGTCATTTATCAACCCATAAAAATGCAAAATATTTTCAATAACATTTTTTCCATGCTCGTCCTATGAACAATATACCTTTTGGAAAATTTCTGCACGATTTATAATCAAATTTCAATAAATTGTTTTCCGACAAAAGAGTATTGCCAAGTATTATTTTAATATTTAATAACCTACGCAGAGCTGAACGACATCATTTTAGCTATTATCATATTAGACGGTGACTTACCATGTAATGTTAATTGTCTGTATGCACACGTTATACTACATAACAACATGATACGTAGTGACTGAAAATATTGTGATAAATACTTACGTCAATTTTCAAAAGTTTATTGGTTTTCATATTAAGTCGGCTTTGGAACTGTAAATCGGCTGATTAACTTTCATTTTATTAAATAATTTAAAAGCTTTCCGAATAAATCGTGTGATATTGATATGAGCAATTATGTAGTAAACATCCATGTATCCGTGGTTAAATGAAAATTTTAGTTATATCATGCAACGCTTTATCTATGCCCTTCACGTGTTTTTGTTAATACCGTAGCATTGGGCACCGCTACTGTTTTTTTCCAACATATTATATATAATAATAAACATATACGATGTTCCAGGTTAATATTTGCTTTTTTCAATGTTATGTAACTTTCCATTGTAGCTCTTACTTTTCCCGTTAAATATTTTCTATGCTGCAAATTTTTTTTTCACAAATTTCTGCCAGCATATTGGGTACAAGATGCGAAAAACAAAAACATTTTTACTTTTATTTATCTTTTATTAATAATATTACCAAAAAAAGAATAATTCCAAAACCATATCTGAGAAGTGAAAGAATTTAAGGGACTCCACTGTGGTTGTTTGACATGGTGGGCCTGGAAATAATTTTCCGTGAAAGATTTTCCATTTGATGTATGTCTAGACCAATAACCCTTGTGCAAAATTTCATATCGTTAACTCACGTCGTTTATTTTCCCGGAATAATTATTCAAATTGTTAAAAATGACCCAAGTTTGAAAAAGCGTCGCAGCGCATTTACCTAAAACGGACTAAGTAGAGAGCTAAAATACGATATTCAATTTATTTCTGCGAAAATTTCTTAATAATCTTTTGCATATCGTTCTGTTTTAAGAGCCCCTTCAAGACCTCAGTGGAGCCCCTTTATACAATGTTGCAATAGATATTCCCATGGAAAAGAGTCGAGTTTAGATACAAAATTATCATACTTCAAAGTAATAAAAAGTCAGTTTCTAAAAAGTTTACATATTCTGGTCTGAACATGGTTTTGGTACCTTCTTAAATATGAACAATCAAAATTAAGAAAGTTTTATCCAATCAGATGTTACGTTACTTCCACGAAAATAGATTGTCCAATCAGATTACATGATAGGAAAGGTTGCTTCTGTGGCGATTCCGCATTGGTTGTTCTTGTTCCTCGACATCCAGATGTAGCCACCTTGTCCCCAACTTTTTCCCCAGCTGTTATAAAAGTAAACCGTGCCAATAAATATGAATAATATCACTATATAAAGTATTTAAAGTGTTAGATACACCTAAATTTATTGCTGTAAAATATTTATGTAACACAATAACACTCTTAAATGCAGGAGAAACATATTTCGCTAAATAACACACTATTATTATTATTTTGACAACTTACAAAAAGACTCAGGTTAATAGTTCTTCAAATAACTTATATGATCTTAAACCGAGATAATAGTTCTTCTGTGGCTGGGTGGTTAAGGTCATTCACTTCAAATTAATTGTTCCTCCACGCTGTGGGTTCGAATCCTGTCAGGGACTTTGAAACGTCAATAATTGTACTCAGGCCCCAATTCTTACAATAAATATTACACGAAGGGATATATGAGGTATTCAAGACTCGGTAAATCGGTTAGTCAATGTAAGGCCTTCACAGTATCTAGGTGACTTACACATCCAACATACAAAACTTCAGCCACATTTGATAAACATGAATACTAATCATAAATGTATTTTCAAGTGAAAAACAGACGAAATTGCATTTAAATTACCATCAGCATTTATATCAATATTTTCATGTACATTTAAATAGGGCTGTCGAAATTAATGTCAACATGCAAATTATCTTGACAAAATGAAGGGAGACAACCTAAACTCTTTATTTAAATAAAGACAGAGATGTAGTTAATACGAATTTATTTAAGTTCGATTGTGTTGGAAACTATAAGCATATTGAAACACTCTCGAATCTGTTCCTGGAAACAACCAGTACTTAGCAATGAATGTAAAGTTTCTTACTCACGGACAAAAACGGAATGCCCGTGACGGGGTTTGAACCCACTAGTCTGACGTTTAACCACTCGACCATGCCGCCACAAAGACAGTGTTATTTTACCTATTCTTGACTATCCAGTAATCTGTAGCCATGTCTCGTCCAAAGCCGACAACAAGAACACCATGATTAAGTTTGAAGCTAGAGCTAGAGCACCTCCATTCATTGTACACCCCATGTCTGAAAATAGAGGATATTGAATGAGTGTAAGTTTAATGTATTGAACAAGTTGAATATAATTATATTATGCGAACCTCTTGCGATTTATTAAACGAGTTCAATAAACTGAGTAAAGAACGAATTTAATATTCTTTTTATCATATACCAAAAATATAGACCGTTTGAAGTGAAAAAGAACGATTTTTCATTGACGCGCCTGAAGTGTCTTAACGCTATGTTTATATAACGCTAATGACGACACGACAAAAATAAATGCACGGCCCTGCTATACCATATTTACTAAGTTGCAAAAATGGCACGGGTATGTGATAAAAAGAGGATATTGAATGATTGTAAGTATATTACTGAATTTATTGAACACGTTGAATAAAGTTATATTATGCGAGCCTCTGGCGAGCATAATACTATTTCATTAAACGAGTGCAATAAATTCAGTAATAATTTTAAACGAATTTCAAAATTTTATTTATTACATTCCAAAAATATATACCGTTTGAAGTGAAAAAGAACCATTTTTCATTGACGCGCCTGAAGTGTACACGCTAATATTTAGCGCGTCTTAACGCTATATTTATATAACGCAAATGACGTATATGCACGGCCGTGGAATACCATTTTTACGAAGCACGAGTAATTATGTGATAAAATTGCTTATCAAGTTACCCTATTTCGTATAAAGAATTTGTTTTCCGGAGTTTTTAACAAGAGAAGGTACAAGGTAAATTAATGCTTGAAGGTAAGATGTCTAAAACTTAACCCACTCCTAAATATAGAATTTGTGCTCAGAAAAGCGAGCTCAAACGGAACTTTTGTCTAAATAGTAAATAAGAAAAATGGTTTGAGTTTTACCGATGCTATAAAATAGAATTGACGACAGTTTATGTATTTGGCCAAATGTATCGATATAACAGTAAACAGTATGTTATTTATATATTTATAACTGTGGGTGTATAGAAACCGAAAGCACAAATTGGTTGCCTGTTGACATTTATTCGGATTCGGTTATAATGGTACTTCAGTTAGCATTGTTAAATTAATTATGATTGTCAGACATACGTTAAATCCTAATTATACGGAAATAGACATTGGATGTCAAATATATACATTCATTATACATTATCAAAAATAACACCCTCTGGTAGGCATGCTAGAGATCAGAATATTATTTTTCTCTGGTAGGCATGCTAGAGATCAGAATATTATTTTTTCCACAAGAACTGGAAATTCTATCAATATCAACGATAATATCCAAAATATACAGGTCTTTGATATCAAAAATATACCCCCCTATATGGTATAAGTTTATTTATATTATATAGGGGGTATGTTTGGATATCATCATTGATAGTATTGGTTATTTGATTCATGTGGTATTTTCTTTGGAACATACAAAATAGTAGTCAAAATGAACAAAGTCTGTTAATTGATTTATTGGGAGGTCAATCAACTATTTTAATGAATTACTTCAAAAACCTCATCTGACCCACCAGTGTGTTTACATTCCTATCAATAAACCCATAACAACTCATGTTCAAATTGCAGACAAAAGTTTCTGTTGTTAAAGTGACACACTATTGTCACATATCTTCACAATATTCGGCACGTGAACATTCCACTCAAAATACCATAAAATTAATTGCCTTTAAACAAAAATACAGAACAGTTACAAGTGAACTATAGTATAACTGTCGCACAACGCCAAAATAAAAGCGACATTTAAAGTTATGTACTAGGTCTATTTCAATATTCACGGAAGTAATGTCATAAGTGCAATCAGAGCCGTAAAAAAGAAAACCGGAGAGACCTACGAAAAAGACAATTTCAAAATGATAATACAAAATTTTTGCATTTCAAATCCTGCAAAATTATCCAGTTCGTTATTTATTACCATAGTGCGACAAGAATGACCGTTTCGTTAAACTAAAACAACTTCTATAAATAGATTTTCGGACTTTCATAATGTTAAGGTCATCATTCTATTTATAGGTACAGCAGTAACATACATAATAGCCAACATGATTAATAAAAAAAACGAAGAGCGCGATAAATTGACGGATAAGATAATTTCATTTGAATATGTTTGCATTGCGAAATTCTCCAGTCCGCTATTCACTGTGCATATCTTTGATAATAAAACACCCCCATACCAATCGGAATGACCGGCTATTATGACAGACGAAAAGGCCCGAGAAGTTGTAATTGCCCTTTAACAAAATCTGATTTCATTCCATAAGGGGCGTCGCGCTTCGGCGCGGGCGCCAATAAATCGGTTACGAATGAAAATAACATTTGGTGTAGAGATTACCTGTATAATTGAAACGATCTCTGGCTGGCATCGATGGCGACCGAGATAGGACCTTCAGATGTCACTGCAGCCTGCAGATCTTGCTCAGACCTTGACCTTATATTTTTACAACCTTTTGCCGTTGCACCAACGTTCTGTCGCTTGAACATGCATGGTCCTTCCTAAAAATCACGAAAATAGCGAACATAATTTTTTTAAGTAATCATGAGATAATAAAATTGACACAGAAGTTGTTAGAATAAGCACATGTATCGTTAAACAGTAGTAAAACACACTATGCAGCTTCGTGCGTGTGGGTGAGCGCACACGCGTGCGTGCGTGCGTGCGTGTGCGTGTGCGTGTAAACAAAAATCGCACATACATAGTTCAAAATAAATAGCACATAGGCCAAATAGTTCATTTCAAATCCATATACTGTATTCCAAGTTATACTTTTGATATTATACAGAAGAAAACTGGTAATTGTGTGTGTTTTCAATCAATAAATGAGTTTTCTCCTTAAAAATGTAGCTTGAAACAAATAGGTCATTATACATTGTTGAGCACACTACTGAATACAGCGGCTAGCTACTCGTCCAATATAGGTTTTTACATATGTGTACTCGTCCAATATAATCCTGTATTGTGCTCAATACAAATAATAGCATAAAGACACTGACCTTCGGGACATATGGATATGAGTCCTCCGTATCAATCCCATTATTTTTGATGACGTAAGCAAATGCTCTATCCATCATTCCGCCATGGCAGCCCATGTTTCCTATTAAAAAACATTCAACAAGAATACTTTGTTTAATAAATCCTTAAGTAATAGAAAGAGCATCGAAACACGAGGCTATCTGATTTGTACGACGAGGGGGGGGGGGGCGTAGCCCCCGAGTATTAATCAGATTGCCAAGTGTTTTGATGTGCTTTCTATTTTGTATCATAGTCAAACATAAAAACACGTTCCCTGTTGTCACAGTTTGAACCCCCCCCCCCCCCCAAAAAAAAGTAACCAATAAACGAGCATCTGAATATGATATTTCTGTCGCATTCCCTTTCTCTGCCGTCACAATAAGTAAACCCCAGTCAATGGGCATGCTCTGGAGTGCGGGTAACTGATACCTGCACACCAGTTACCGCACTGTGCATGTATATGTATACAATTTAACTCTGACAAATTTTCAACAGAAAGGTCTCCAAACTATGATACAATTGGTATATAACGCACTTTGGCTACACGTAGGTTAAAACTTTTGTTACATACTTGGGCATCATATCGAGCTGAGTAAAATATAAATTTCAACTGAAGAATTCGAACTTAAATGTACATTATATTATGCTTTATACAGAATTCATTATGGTCTGATTATGTACCTTAAAGACACACTTTTGAAACCATTCCTGGAAATAACCAGTACTGAAAAACGAGTGTAGCATCTTGCTCAAGGGAACAACGACTTGTCCCTGACTTGGTTCCACAAGGAGGGTGATCCTTAGATTACATGTCCGACGTGTTAACCACTAGGCCACGCCGCCCCATTAGAACATTTAAGAATTTATTGTAAAACGTGTATTGTTACAACCTTCTGGTTTGGAACAGTCCATGAGATTCTTCTCAGAAAGGGACACCAGTTTACCAGTTTTCTTGAAGTTTTGTCCCTCGAGGGACCCGGTTGCTGAGAATGCCCAACATGAACCGCATTGTCCCTGGAATAAATGAATGAACAAAAGAATGAATAAACAGAAAAGAATGAATATATATGAATGAATGCATTTATAAATGAATTAATGTATAAATGAATGAATGAGTGAACGAAGGAATGAGTGAACGAAGGAACGAATGAACGAATGAATGAACGAAGGAACAAATGAATGAATGAACAAATGAATGTTGAGTGAATGAATGAACAAAAGAATGAATGAACAGAAATGAATGAATGATTTTAAGAATGAATAAATAAATAAATAAATGAATGAATGAATGAATGCATTTATAAATGAATGAATGAATGAATGAATGAATGTATAAATGAACGAAGGAACGAATGAGCGAACGAACGAAGGAACAAATGAATTAATGAATGAATAAACAAATGAATGAATGAATGAATGTTGAATGAATGAAAGAACAAAAAAATGAATGAACAAAAATGAATGAATGAATGAATTTAAGAATGAATGAATGAATGAATGAATGGATGGATGAGGGGAGGGATGGAGGGACGGACGGACGGACGAACGAACGATTGGAATTATTGAATGAATGAATGAATGAATGAATGAATTAATTAATTAATGAACAATCGAATGAATGAACGAACGCATAAACGAATGCATGAATGACCGAACGAACAAATAAACGAATGAACGAATGAATAAACAAAAGAATGAATGAATGAATGAAAAAAAAATTCAACCTCGTTTCAAGCTGTTAAGATTATAACGTAAAGGTGCCTGGAAGAAAACAAATCAGTCTATAGACCCTTTCCCACACCTTACAATCAAATTGGCAGACAGCAGTTCTAACGTCGACAGCTGTACCAGTATATATATGTCATGTCGGCGTACACAACACAAAAACGGACGGTAAGTGCTGTCTGCCCATTTGATTGTACGGTGTGTTTCCTTACAATTAAGATCGGATTCATGTTGCCGCTATTGGGGAGAAACGGTTGATAATACATGGGTATTAGATTCAAATCTTTACTCTTGAAAGATGCACAAACTTTGAATTCTGTACGATTGAATATGAAATAACACATAAGGGAGAACGTTTACCATAATCACTTTCAATGTTTTATATATTGACGTTCCAATACCGATTTTCACTTTGTTTTGAAGACTAAAAGAAATTTTACAAGCCTATACAAATGTATAAAATATACACTTCCTATCCCAACAATAATTTATTGTGCGTCAGGGCTATTTATTATATAGACGATGATCTCCTGTCAAGACAGGCATCTATGTAATATCAGTTTGGAAAATCGGTCGAACTTGTAGTCGAAATATTGAGACTATCAATGCAAAGAACCAAAGTTATCTGTCCTTAGGAAGACATTATGGAAGTGGTTACTCGAGAAATAGTGCATCCAACTGATGCTGAATATTAATAATATTTTGCATGTAAAATGACATATTGTTGGAGAGGATAATATTACAGTCGACTCCGCTTATAACGAACTCGCTTATATCGAATTATCGTATGTGGGTATTGGAAAATGAGATGTGAGATTTGTAATAATTTCTTTAAAGGAATGACCATATTTGATAGGAGTAATTTGCCAGTATGCGGCTGTCATGACATGAAATGTTTTGTTACCTGATTCTTTACGTTTGTGACGTAGCCCTTTTTTCTCCAGTCGACATATTCCGGACCTGACGTCATGCCTTCCGTTGGTGGCGAATAGCGTTTGCATACGTTAAATGTAGCGTTTTGTTTGTAGCCGTTCATTACGTCAACAAATTCGCTGCTCGTCTGAAAGATTGTTGTTATTTGCTCATAATGACCTCATTAAAAATCTCAAAAAAATGAAATTAAAAAAACAAAAAAAATAATTGAAAAATACCCCTCCCTACTTCACGAAAAACAAAACAAAAAAATACAAAAAACAAATCACACACATTCACACGTACGCACGCGCTCTCTTCAACTCTCTCACACACTCAGCCATATTCGAATTATGTTAAGAATAAAAACGGACTACATCGTGGCTTTAAAACGTGAGCAACATATCCTCTTAAATAAGGAACAAATAAAAGTACGGAATTCTATTTGTGCCACCAAAATAGCGAACGTTAAAGGCTATATTTAAGTGGCTGAAACGGGGCGCCATAGAGGCTTAGTTCACAGAGCAATGAGGAAACTCTTTGCAGACTAAGAACATTAATTATTACCATGTCACCATATTCATTCATGCCTAGAGTGAATGTATGAAGTCCCTGTTCGGCCTCCACGTTATGTCGTTCTATGTAGTCCATGTTACTTTCCCATATATATCGTCTGCAATTTGAAAATGGTAACTTCTAGTTGTCTCTTTATATAAATTCATACATTAAAAGCAACACAGTCAATCAAGAAAAAAAGAAAAATCAGTCTGATATGATTCGAGGTTATCAAGAAGATCCATATAACAATAAAAAACTTTAACCGTAAAAAAAACGTTTTGACGTGACGTCAATTTATGGTGTGACGTCAAAGTAGAATGCGTGGGATGATTAAAGAAATGCATTAGAAATGATGCTCTTATTTAGCCCTTATAAGAAAATCTATTACAACAGGCTGTTGATGGAGTAAGGATAAAAATATTTTACATTTAAATTTGATATCTGTGGAGTATACCGTACACATTGAGTTTTCAAAATATGAACCGGCGGAATAGCATGATCTTTCTGCTGTTTAAAGGCTAAAATACATTTGAACCGCGTCATGACAAAACTAACATAATGGGTTTGCGACCAGAATGGATCCAGACCAGCCTGCTCATCCGCACAGTCTGATCAGGATCCATGTTGTTCGCTTACCAACTCTTTTACATGTAGAGAAACTGATAGCTACAGTATTGATCCTGATCAGACTGCGCGGATGCGCAGGCTGGTCTGGATCCATTCTGGTCGCAAACGCACTATGTTGGTTTTGTCGTGACGCGGCTCATTTAACATTACACAGGTACGTTTACGGTCACGTGATAAAATCGAACATTCACCTTGCGTTGTATAGGGAAGTAAATTTTAAAAGGATGTCCTGTTTTCAAAACGAAAGTTTATCTCGTCATTGTCACCAGGTAGGGGAATCTTTCGTTATAAATCCCCGTTTCGCAACGTTATGAAAAATTATGTGGATAAGGAAATAAAATGGTAACCTACATTTATTCAATAAAAAAGATAAAATAACAAATTTTTTGTAGCGTACATGCTCATGCAAAGGTGCTGGTGGCATTGATTTGACCTAAAATGTGTTTAACCTTTTTATTTATGCACTAAAACATCAATATATTAAAAAAAAAATTTCACTGTTTTTTTTTTTGGTTTTTTTTTTCACTATAATAATAATTATCACAGTGAAAAAAAACCTGCGTGCTATTGTAGTAATATCGGTAGAATGTGACCAAATCAGGGTATATTACCTGCGTGCTATTGTAGTAATATCGGTGAAACATGTCCAAATCAAGGGATATGGCCCGCGTGTTATTGTAGTAATACCGGTAAAACGTGTCCAAATCAGGGTATATGACCAACGTTTTATTGTAGTAATATGGTGAAACATGTCCAAATCAAGGGATATGACTCGCAGGTTATTGTAGTAATATCGGTATTTAAAACGTGAACAAATGAAGGTATATATCCCGCGTGTTATTGTAGTAATATTGTGAAACATGTCCAAATCAAGGTATATGACCCGCGTGTTATTGTAGTAATATAAGGAAAACGTGTCGAAATCAAGGTATATGACCCGCGTGTTATTGTTGTATTGTTAAAATGTGTTCAAATCCGAGTTTATAAAGCGTCTTATTGCAGTGTCGTCAAAACGTGTCAAAATCTTGTGTATATAACATGCGTGTTATTTCGGTGTCATTAAAACGTTTCAATTACGTTATACAGCACGCGTGTTATTGCATGGTTACACTGTGTGCAAATCCGGGTATATAACCCGCGTGTTATAACAGTATTGTAAAATATGTCTCAGTCAGGCTATATAACCCGAGTGTTATTTGAGTTTGAGTTTTATAAAAAAATGTCAAGGTATATAACCATGGGTTATTGCAGTGTCGTTAAAGCGTTTCCAAATCAGGAAATATGACCTGACTGTGTGTTTTTGCTGTGTCCTTTAAGCGTGCCGAAATCCGGGTATATAACCCGCGTGTCATTGAAGAAGATGAAGCAGTATCGTACAAACGTGTCTCAATCAGGGTGTATAACCTGCCATATCAGAGGGGAAAAATTGAGGGAAATAATCAGAAGGAAAAAATCAGAGGAAAAACAATCAGACGGAATAAAATCAGAGGAAAAAATTGTAGGGAAAAGTAAGAGGGAAATAATCAGAGGGAAAATAATCAGAGGGAAAAATCAGAGGGAAAAACATAGGGAATAAAATCAGATGATAAAATCAGAGGGGAATACTAAATTTTAGAAGTTTAATGATAAAAACCAAACCTTACCGAATTTTCTCTTCTACAGGCTCGTACTGTTTTCCATATCCAGATTTATATACCTTCCACTCATAATCTCGGTCAGTCTGGAGAGCTAATGATGTTGCCAAAAGACATCCGAATATTACAGAACGCATCATCTAAATTTGAAAACAACAACAACAAAATCAGAATAAAATCTTTATCACGTCTAATAATTTATTTGTTTATGTCTTATTATTATTGTTTTGAATTTGGCTTCACGTGCGACCCCAGCATGACCTTGCGCTAGGTTGCCAGTAAGGACAATTTAAAAGCTCGAATTGTCGCTGATACAACAAACTTTAACAACATGGAAATATAAGTTATCTTTATATTAGTAATACAACAATTAATTACATCCTATGTTTAGAGATAGACTTTCTTTAAAACGCCTTAACACATGAGATAAGTAGATTTAATTAATTTTAAGTGTTATATATGTATTACGACACTTTTTTTGTTTTACATTAATCGTCTACGTCATAAATGAAAATAAAATTGTGAATAAGGTGTTTAGCTTATATTTAATATTGTGATCAAAAAATCTGACATTAGAAGACATTTTAGATATTTTTTTAAGGAACGAGTTTAGAAAAATACTCCTGAATTCGCTTCATAGAAGATTAAACCAGCAACAACAACAACAATACACAGCCATGCCATATCCTGTATTCAATAAGACTAAGTTAAAAACCAAACAATTTTATAATCAATACCGTTTATTTGAGCTCTTCAACTTGAAGTATCCTAAGTGTGTTACAGTACTTAAATCATGTGGTAAAAGGGTATACCTGGGTGCCATTTATATACTTTAATTATGTACCTATTCAACTGCACAGTACAATAACCGCGTGATGCGGAAATAAATTACAAAGTGTTTTCTTCCGCCTATAACTTTCATATAATGATTGTTCCTTCGTTTTATCATTTTTTTAAATGTTTTTTTTTTCCTAATTGATGTTAATTGACGTTATGAAGTGCGTTTAAATCAATTTGTAAAATCTATGGCATCATTCTTTCATCATCGTCATCATCAACATCATCGTCAATGTCATTATCATCATCGGCATCATCATCATCGGCATCATCATCATCGTCATCATCATCATCACAATCATCATTACCATCACCAATATCATTATCAACATCATCATCATCAACATTGGCATGAAAATCAACTTGAACATCAGCTTCAATATCATCATCATCATCACTACCGTTATAATAATTATCAACGAAATCATCATCATTATCATTATAAGCATCAGTAATAGCAACATCAGCATCATCTTATCTTTATTTTTGTTCCTTTTTCATCACGGTCATCATCAATGGGTGCTTATTTCTTTTTGTAAAATACCGTTATATTTTATTTAGAGAATTGTTCTTCATCATCATCATGATCAGAATCATCATCATCATCATCATCATCATTATCATCATCATATTACTCATCATAATTATCATCATAACAGTTTATATCAATTAAAAGGTTTAGTTTTTCTATAAATATTTGTATTCGTGTTATTTTAATTTCAAAACAAAGTGTAACGAAAACTGCCGAACTATGACGGAAACTTACAAAATAATTATGCTGAAGGTTTTTATTTGTCTCAATATTTTTTCCTTTTTTCTCTCTCTTTTGTTGTCTATTTAACTTTTTTATAATTTTGAAAATTCTCATTATTCCGGTCAACATCGCTGTCTAACATGATAGCATTTGTAATGATATCTAATATAAGGAAGAAGGAACTTTTATAATATAATTGGTTTATTATTAATCAGGTTTTGCTGTATAAAATGATTAAGGGTCAAAGTCTTCGCCCTCGGCTCTCATGGAAATAAACAAAAATTTTATACTTAATATGACACGTCTAACACAGTTTTATACAATGGGATAATGTTCCTAAATCTCCGACGGTGCATTTTTTGTGCTCGGAAGAAGTTACTGGAAACAGAATGGAGCACCGATCAGGAAAATAGTAGCTCCTTTAAAATTTACGTCTTAATTATCACCCAAGAAAAAAAATCGGATAAAATGATCTCAACCAAAAACACGCCGTACAATCAACTGGGTATTAATTAAACCGTTCAACGCGTCGACAGCTGTACTTTTATAATTATACATGTCGGTATAAAACAAATTGACGGTAAGTTTTCATTTATTTTTTTACATATCCCAACTATTTTCAAGTAAATCAATGTTAACACCTATAGGAGGCTGCTAACAAATTTCATACCGCATCTCATCGGAAAGTGTGGTTATATATTTTCAATCAAAGTTCACATAAAGTAAAACTTGCACAGGGCCAAAAATTTAATAGAAGGCTCCTCTAGTCGTTTGACTATGAATCCATAACATTGATTTATCGCTTAAAGTTGGGATATGTCAAAAAAGGATAATTATCTACCGTTAGTCAATTTTGTTTTTATACCGACATGTATATACCAGTACGGCTGTCGACGCGTTGAACCGTTGTCTACCTAGTTAATTGTACGGTGTGCAAAATAAACGTTCCCGTCAGTTAAATGTAAGACAGTGTTTATCTGGGACATTTATTTTTCATGCAAGATTACTTAATAACCAATCAAAATTAAAAGTCTCATTCATTTTCATTTCAATCAGTCCAATTATCCAATCAGGTGTTACGTTACATCCAGTGATAAATAGATTGTCCAATCAGATTACATGGTAGGAAAGCTTGCTTGTGTGGCGATTCCGCATTGGTTGTCCTTGTTTCTTGCCATCATGATGTAACCTTCCTGTCCCAAGCTTGTTCCCCAACTAAAAAGGAAATTAAAGACTTACTTTACTCATTGTAACTTATAATTTCCTTGTTGCCGTTTGAAGGCAAAAAAAAAGAAAACTCTCTTTTCGCTCCATAAAATAACATGGATTAACTATATGAAATATGTGGACTTCTTGTTAAAGAACATTCCTCTCAACTAGGGAATTGCTGCTTCGAGCCATATTGAGGTCACGATGATCGATTTTAAACTTTGCGCACTTGATAGAGGTTCAAAATTCTTCAAAATCTTCACATTTGGGCATAGATAAGATATGTTGAAACTATATAATACATAATATTCAGAAGTCATTGATGTTATTTCAATACTTTAATTAATCGGTATACATATAGTATGGTATACAAAACATCAGTCTCTTTTAAAAGTTACCAGTTAATTAGCTCACCTGTTCTTTACGAGCCAGTATTCCCTCAAGAAATCTTTACTATATCCTACAGGAAGAACTCCGTGATCAAGATTCTTCGATGAACATCTTCTTTCACTATATACCCCTGATCTAAAAAAAAGACATGCTGTCATTTTACAATTTTCAGTTCCCATGACAATATTTCCGCTTGATGATTAGTAAACAAGTTTTTTTTTTTCAGTTCAAACTTGCAATATTGACATGTTATCAACCGGAATGTAATACATAAAGCATACACTCCACCACAACACAACCCCCTCCCCCAATATTTTTTTTTTAAAAATCCAAAAAAAAAACAAAAACACAACAACTTTTATTTAATTATTAAATGTAGAATTGTATTTCGAACTTCTTTTAATGAGAGTAAAAATCTTAATGTAGGTCCTGACTATTCAAGAATTTTCAGACGGATGTTCCACTAAGAAACGCACATTTTCAACCAAGCCGAAGACAAACTACTATCGCCTTCAATGTTCTTTTGAAAATGCAAACAGTTAAGTACATATGAAGCGTTTTCACAGTCATGTAACCAACAAATTCAAACCGGGTACCTGTATAATTGGAAAGATGGATGGCTAGCATCAATGCCTTTAGAGATTGGCCCTACTGTTGCTACAGCAGCTTGTAAATCGTCTTCTGATCCCAATTTAATGTCCTTACAGCTTGTTTCTGTTGCGCCAATGTCCTCTCTTTTAAACTCACAATCTCCGTTCTAAAAATAGAACCATTATCATACTGATTTTTTATCCCCCGCCGAAAAGGCGGCGAGGGATATAGTAATAGTCTCCGTCCGTCCGACCTTCCGTCCTTCCGTCCGACATTTTTGTCCGGAGCATATCTCTAAAAGTATTTGAGTAATCAACTTGAAACTTCATAGGTGGATAGACCTCATTGAGGAGGAGTGCAGTGCACAAGAATGATAACTCTACCCTGCATGATTTTTGAGTTATTGCCCTTTGTTATTTTTCAAAATTGATTTTTGTCCAAAGCATAACTCAAAAAGCCTTTGAGATATCAACATGAAACTTCATAGGTACATAGATCTCACTCAGGAGGTGTGCAGTGCACAAGAATGATAACTCTACCTTTCATAATTTTAGAGTTATTGCCCTTTGTTATTTTTCATACCTAATTTTTCACCCGAGTGGAGCATAACTCAAAAGTGTTTGAGATGTCAACATGAAATGTCATAGGTGGATAGATTTTATTGAGGAGGAATGCAGTGCACAAGAATGATAACTCGTCCCTATACAATTTTTGAGTTATTGCCCTTTGTTCTTTTTCATACTATTTTGTCCGGAGCTTATCTCAAAAAGTATTTTAGGTATCAACTTGAAACTTCATAGGTAGATGGATATCATTGAGGAAGAGTGCAGTGTACAAGAATGATAACTCTACCCTGCATAATTATTTAGATATTGCCCTTTTTTATTTTTCAAAATTAATTTGTTCAGAGCATAACTCAAAAGGTCTTTGAGATATCATTATGAAACTTTATAGGCGCATAGATCTCACCCAGGAGGTGTGCAGTGCACAAGAATCATAACTCTACCTTTTATATTTTTTGAGTTATTGCCCTTTGTTATTTTTCATACTTAATTTTTCAATTCAATTTTTTCTCAAAAAGTATTTGAGGTATCAACTTGAAACTTCATAGGTGGATAGATTTTACTGAGGAGGGATGCAGCACACAAGAATGATAACCTACCCTGCATTATTTTTCAGTTATTGCCCTTTGTTATTTTCAGCCATCAGTTTTCACATAAGTTTCAAATCTGTAATCACTATAGCCATCAGTTTTCATTACCAAAAGACCTCTAAAATGAAATTATTCTGCTGTACTACATATACATTCTTCCAATGAGCAAACACATTCGGCGGGGGATGGCCATGTTGACATGGCTCTTGTTATAATTAATGTATTGCCATCATTTTATCACCATCATGGTTATCATTTTTATCATTATCATTATCATTGATATAGTTATAATTATTATCTTATCAGGAATATGACCACTCTTGTCCCTACCGTTTACAGTATTCAGTGTATTGAATTGAATTGAATTGAATGTATGCAGTTCATTAATTATAAAAAGAAAAATGTCTGCCTTTATCAATTACATGATCTCTTTAAAGCCGTGTAGATAGAAAAACGTGCCGATATGTATACTTCTGATACTGTCGAAACTTTAAGTTTTTTTTTTTTTTTTTTTTTTTTTTTTTTTTTTTTTTTTTTTTTAAAAAGTAATTGTTTTATATATACTCGTATCTACCAAGAGGACAATATTCAGAACGAACTAAAAATAATGGGATAACCCGATATTTACTCTGATTGTATGTTAGTTGTATGTTGGTTGGGACATATACAACCACTACTATAACACTATATATACTACTGTGCCTGGAGCACAGTAATTGATCAAATTACTTATTTTCGACTTACGAAATGGAGAACTTTTTTGGCTTTTCGTCTTCATTAAGTCAATATATACCTGTTTTTTGAAATCTGTGACGTAACCCTCGTTCCGCCAATCAACTTTGTCTGGTAGAGATGATAAGGCAACGTTCATTGGTGGAGAATATTGACTGCATACACTCTTGGTTAAATTCTGTTTGAACCCGTTCATTACGGAAACAAATTCTGTATTCGTCTAAAACAAAATATCTGATTTTTCATCTTAAACCTTCTCCCTATAGGACATGTACGTATATACTTTTGCCCTGAATTCAGGTTACTATGTAAAATATATTACCAGAAAGACAACTCTCGCGTGACAAAACATGTACTAAAAGAGGGAACCTCGAAATTTGTCATAAGAACGCTTAGAGCTTCTCTATTTCCATTTATAAATGGCATTACTAGACATTCGCCGATATCTACAGACCCATCAAGGTATACAAAATTCCTAGAACCCTGAAGCACCTTGATGTCTTTATTAACAATTTCTTTCTCTTTCTTTTTTTCAGTAGTTCAACCGTCCAGATAAAGTTACCAGCATATGTTTGACAGTTTAATCATTTGCTATAATAGAAATATTTTAAATGTAAGCTATATTGATTTAACTTTAAAATATAAATGTCACGTTAGTCAATAATTAAATAGCCTTCATTCATACCTGAAAGACAAACAGTTAATTTACCAGTCACTGGCTTTCATATATAGCAATCGTTGGAATTTTTGTTTCATCGAATGACGCTTCCTTTCAGTTCAATCAATATTGAATAACTAATTGGATATTTAATGATGTAACGCTAAACCATTTTGCAACGGTGTATTACTGTCAAGTTTGTCACGTCAAGTATGAAGACACAAGTATACCAATTACATAACAAAATACAAGAAAGTTGCAATCGTATTTTACAGTGTAAGATCAAAATGCATGTAACTTAGTGAACACCGGATATCATAATTTAATGACTGATGAAGACGCTGATCACGAGAGATTTTGTAATGTTGATTTCAACTTATACTTACTGCAACCAATATTATGTCTTTCATATTTATTTTTGTTTATTTTTGTGTTGTTGTTTTTAGTTTTGTATTGCTTTATTGTACGGGCGTACGGCTAATATTTAAATGCTGTACAAAGTCAGTATAGGTTTGTAACAATATTTCTCGTTGCTAGTCTTATTACTTATTGTTTAATCGGTGCCTTAAATCTAAGCTCTCAGACTACAGATTTAAGTCAGTTTGATACATCTTTACAACATTTGTAATGCGTAAACTGTAGCAAGAATATTCTTTTTCTATTGTTTTATAAAAAGATTAAATCAACTTGGTATAAGTAAGGTCATATCACTTTTGCCTATATACGTACAGTATCCCTTTCCTGCTGCATTGATGAAACAGTAATTGGTTAGCCTTTGCAACTGATAAAGAGTCGTTTAAGCATTTGCTTTCATGCTTACAGAAATATTGAAGCACTATTTTACCACATAAATATGTGTGGAAGAAAGTAAATTAGAGGGAGAGTGTACATAAAAATATCTTGTAATGTTATCGTATCTTTTTCACTGTGTCGTTCGCTGTGTTCATGAGTTTAACCTGAAGACTGCGTAAAGTCAACTCATTAATGCGGAGCTACATAACCACTAATCTCAAAATAAATCAACACAACATTGCAACATTGCATCGCTGTTTTGTTGTCACATGCTTATAAATAACGTGTGATTTCGCTTTGTTACAATGTTATTTTGCATTGTCATAATGTACTTTGCGTTGTCGCTTTCTCATTTCGCGTTGTCTCTATGATATTTTGCGCAGTCACTTTGCATTGGCGCATGTCGTTCTGCGTTGTCGCATTGTCATATTGCATTGTGACACTGACAATTTTTTTATTGCTGATTAGTAGTTTCGCAATGTATAATTGTCATACTAATATCACTTGTCACGTTATATTGTAGTGTGTCGACGTCTTAGAACCATTGACGATTAGCAAAAATACATCTTACTCCGGCAAATAAAGATACTATACATTTCAAACGTCTAGTCCAGTTGACTTAATGTTACTTATGATACTGCCTTTCGGTATATAAACCAAAGAACCTTGGATATGAGTGTGATATAATGTAAATTCTTAATTCAAACTTAGATGTATTGTGACGAGGGTTTACTACTTGATTAATTATAAACATGTCATGTTGTGTTTTCTTTCGCATTACTATGTCCTAATCTAACTTACCAATGTCAAAGAGAAGAGCATACAATATTATATTAATGTCACATGTGTACAGTATTTGAATATACTTGTAAGCGAGTGACACTTAGATCTTTTAGAAAAGGGCCACGTGTTTTAGTTATGTGTCATTGTAAAGCATATTCTTTTTCGTCGGTCTTGTGTCGTCTTATATATTGACTGCTCAACTTTGCCTGTAAAAATGTACTTGAATTAAAAGTTAATCATAATCATTGCGTTGTGTTATTGCTATTTTAAAGTAGGGCTGTGCATTGCCATTTTTTTCTGTCACGATACATATCACGATATTTGTTTTTCAAAACGATGCGATTCACGATATGTATTGCATACTTTGAAGAATTGCGGTGCATATTGCGATTCTTATGTTGCGATGCGATACGTATCACGATACTGACTTTCAGACTTCGTATATAAAAAATTGGCCATTTGTTTACAGCATAATTACGAATATAATATAAAACTATTACAGTAGCAAAAAAATAAACTCTTTAACTTGTTGTTATCACTTGGTTTCCGATTTTGATCTTTCAACAATTTACTTAAATAATTACTTAAGGATAAAATGTATTGTTAATTATACCATAACAGCAAATTGTTATCTACTATTCTAACACTTAAGTCCACTTCTGTAAATATGGCAGTTTAACAATTTCAGTCTTACAATACACTACTAAAGATTTTTCTTGTGAAAAAATAGTAACAAGTGATTTACAATTAGGTCAACAACTGTGTAAATAACTGTTAATCAGTTTCACTCTAAATTTTTCGTATTTTATTTTGAGTTTGCAAATTTTGCAAACACTCCGCGTCCGGTCTTCCACATTATACAACGCTGTCTGTTGGTTCCCCAAAAACTACAATGTTCCCA